AAATAAAATCATTTACTGTCTACTTACCGTAGCGAGATTTACAAAAATAACCTATAGAGTCAATAACATAACACATATCATAATTTCATATACAATTAGTTAGAATAACAATTTATTCTTTTCTCAGCCTATTGGTATCCATGGGGGTCTATAGAGATATCCTCACTACGCGTGAACCATTTCCTTTAATATTTTCAATTAACGAACTGTCCCCATACCTTGTCCGGTATGAACATTAAATTACCAAACATCGATACTCCATCTGGTATGAGGGTAAAACAGACCGTCTTCATACCTCGTCTGGTACGAATGCCAAATTACTAAATCTCGATACCCCGTCCGGTATGAGACAACGTTTACGGTAGGATTTTCTATGTACCCAGTCCGTCCACCATCTCCCAGGATATCCAGTAAGACTGTTGTTTCATCCATTCACTTAATCAAATAATTTTTTATTTACCTTTAATTTTCAATTTTCCAAATTTAACTGTAATCATATAAGGCAAGTAATACATGCATTCAAACTATAAAATCAATCAATTAGGTATTATCATGCATTCAAACTGTAAAATTAATCAACAGGACCAACAGTGAATAACTTCCGGTTCTAGCTCTATTAGTAACATTAATTAATTATGAATATTTTTTAAATTACACAAAATACTGTATTATTATTAATTAGACTTCAATTCCATAATAGAGAATAAAGTGAGGGATTTTTTCTCAAATTGATACCCGAAATGATAACTTTTGACTGCGCCTACTAACGGTCTCCAGGTTCCCTGAATTTTTTCTTCGTTAATGAAAACGAGCTTTAAGTGCCTAGAAATATCCAAAAAACACAAAATCAGTGTTAGGAACCCTTTTTTGTCCAATTTCAGAATTCCGGCACAACGGCTCCGCCATGCTCCGGCGACAACACCGCTACTTGCATTGGCAGTTTGCCTTGGGTCGGCTGTTTTCGACCGATTTTGTACTAATCCCTATGAGAAAACACGTTAAAGGGTCTCAGTTGGCCCAAAAAAGTTAAAAAATCAAAACTTACCAGCATCGGGGTTCTCTGGTGTGGCGGCTCTGTCGGCTCACCTTTGTAGTTGGGTGTTTTGCTTTGGTCAACCTGTAGAGAAGAAAATAATGATTATAATGGTGGAAGAATTACACATAACGGGAATCGGGAAGGCCCTCATTGGAAGCCCTTTTTGTAATTTTTTGCGACTACGCCGTCGGGGTTTACCCATGATTTTCGGCCAATTCACTGGTCTTTTTGCTCTGATTTTGCCATGGGGGTATTTAAAATTGAATTTCGAGTAAAAAAAATTTTTTTTTACCTCTTTTGGCAGTCAAAAGTGTCTCCGGCACGACGGCGGGCGACTGGCTCTTCTTCTCCATCGGGGGTGTCTTGCAGCTAGAATTAGGGTTTGGTGTGAAGAGAGTTAGTTATATCCGTCTTCTTTTAATCTAAAATGTCAATCATGTTTGATCTAAACCGTCCGATCGTAATTAAATAGGGAGTAAATCTGAATCATCCATCGCGATTTGATCTAGGTTGTCCGATCACGTTTAAATAGGAAGTGGATCTGGACCGTTCATCGCATTTAATCGTGACCGTCCGATCGTATCTAAGGAGGGAACGGATCCGGGCCGTCCGTGCGTGCGGAAATGAATCTGGACCATCTGATCATAGGCACGTGGATCGCCCGCGTGGCACCGCGTCAGCGTTCCTCGCCACGCGGCGCACTCCGGTTCGTCGGGACTACTGATTGGGCGTCCTATGTGGCACAATTTTTTTAAATTACATTTTGATCCTCAGTTTTTGAATTTTCTTTCAAAAATACCATCAGAATCCAAATTTTCACATCTTTTTCTCAAAATTATTTTTCAATCATCATCAATTTTATTTTTTTTATTTTTACATTAAATAAGAATTAAGAAATTTATATTTATTCATTAATTTTAATTACAATCAAAATTAATTAGGGCATTGCAGTTAAAGTGAGGAATGTTGATTAGAGAAGCAACAACTTCAGGTTAATTTAATTTCGATTATGAAATGTAAAACTCAAATTCTTGGCATGTGTTAGTAGAACTCTGTCATTGAATCACTGCCAAGAACAACATAACTACAAACTGCAATCAACAAAAAAGAAAGAAAAATAAAAAATCAGGTTTATTTCTTTTTTAATAGACAATTGAAGTAAACATCTAATGGAGAGGTGCATATGCAGACCTTGTGGAAGGAGAGAGCAACAACATTGCCAGAGTTAATTCTAGAAGCTAGCAAGAGAGAAGTAACTCCATTGATTGAGTTGTTAGAGTTGAGAGTGAGCTAACATCGAGCTTTCCAGAGATTCTCTTAATATAAATTCAACATTATATTTATTTATACATAAATCAATCAGAAAATGTTATATTTGTTCTAATCATAGTTTAATAGGGAGGAAGTACTTTCCATATTGTGCTTCTGATTTATTTATGGGTAATGCTCTATATAAAATAATAAAAATGTTATTATTATTTTAAAATATTAAATATATATAAATACAATCTGTTTTGAATTTAGGACATTTTATATAAAAAAAAATACTAATTATTTAGCTAATTAGTAATTGATAATTAAAATAATAATAATAATTGAATCTATTACAATTTTTATTTTTATTTTTTGTATAAATGATATTTTTTTAAGTTCAGCATTTAAAGTCAATTTTTTATGAAAGAAAAAAGTCAAATTGAAGTGATATAAATCGAATAAAAACTAACGAATTTTGCACAATTTGAGGGATTAACAGCGACGAAAGAATAATTCAATGAAACGAAAAATATTTAATATGAGAATTTAATAATTTTTTTATTAATTAAAAATCATAAGTTTTCTGTTTTTTTTTTTTTTTTTTAACAAGGGTAATTTTGGGTTGTGCAAGTGACTAATTTTTTTTGGTAACGTTGGAGCATTAATCACATCTTATCTTACAAATTATTAGCTTAACTCAGGACTAACCCAATTTAATTATTAATCAAGGTTAAAGCTTATGAGAACACATAATTTAATTGCTAACTCAATTTAACAAGTTTCGAATCCAATATGTTTTTCAAAAACTTTTCTCAAAAATAGTAAAAATCACATGGTATTTTTAATTTTAACTCTCAACATAATAAATCAAAACGAAAAGAGAAGAAAAGAGTAAAAGTGAGGTCCAATCTTGCGCCAGTTTTGGGACAAGTTGAATGGCCCCACTAAAAGATCTCAATTACCACCCACCATTCCCGGTTGAATTTTGAAATTATTTGAATAAAAAAAACATTTTACCCATTTGAGTTTTAAATTTTTTATTTTCTAAAAACTGACAGTTGTAATGATTTATTTTTAATATATAAAAAAGAAAAAAAAAAAGAAGAAGAAGAAAAAAAAAAAAATACCGGTACCGCAATCACAGGCCTTTTTGACCATTCCTAAGTTAAACTAATAATTAATATAAAATTTTGTTAAATTAAAATAAAAGATGTAATTACTAATATTTGTTATAAACTATTCTTTTGAAGTCAAAGTGTCACACAAGTTAAACCCACATCACATACTGAGACAGAAAAGGAAAATTATTTAGATAAAGATCAAAAAGTTTAATAAATCTTGTCCCCTCTATATTCTACAACCTGGATGTTGGTTGGACGGACGTTCACTGTATCAGATTATGGAGCATCAAAAAGTTTAAGTCTGTAAAGGATCAATCACTCCATCACCATTCATACACAAAAATTCCCCAGTCAGAATACTGGTGAAAACCCAATTGGATTCGAGCTTTCATTCACAAAAGAAGATATACATTCATAAGGTATAATAATCAATCAAAACACAGAAAATGGATAATACGTATGACTATATATGGATATGTGTGTGTGTGTATGTATCATGGAAGAAACACATGAGAAAAACAAATGGCAGCCTGAAAATGGCCATGGGGAAAGGAATCACCTGAATTGCTGAAATCAATACAAGTAAAATGTTCATGATTATACTATAAAATGAAAAGAGCAAAATAAATTAACAAAAGTATGATAATAAAAAGAAAGGAGAAGATAATAAAAAACCCACAAACCAGCAGCAGCAGCAGAGGAGAAGAGCTGCTGCTGCTTTTGTAAGCCCCTTGATTATGGTGGTCCGATCGTCTCCAAATCATCCCTATACATACATTTTATCTGCAATCTAAAATCTTTCTCTGCCATTTTTTATTTCACCCACTCAAATATCCATAACAATTCGAATAAATATGGAGAGACTTTCTCCTCTTACCTCTCCTCTCTACATATATATAGATATATATCGAATTTTTCTCCTCTTCTTTGTGACCTTCGCAAGCAATCAGTTGAACAGACCATTGCAAGACAGAAATGGAATTCTACAAACTGCACAGACTTTCTCATCTGTTTCCTTTTTTTTTTTTTTATTCTTCTTCCAAGAGCGACGAGAATTGCCCAGAGAGAAGAATTTTCCCAGAAAAAATATGAAGAACAAGAAGAGGAAAAAGAAGCCGTTTTTCGAGCTTTCGACGAAAGGTTAGAGGAGGAAATTTCTCAAAAGAATCAATAGAAAGGTGGAGGCGGAGGTGAAGCATATGAGACTCCAGGAATGGGTGGCAATGGGCCCTCATATACGGGAGCCGGTGGAGGTGGGCTCCCGTAAATAATTGGCGGTGGTGATGAAGGAGGCGGAGGCTCTACGCATGGGATTGGAGGTGGTGGTGATGGGGACGGTGGTGGAGGTGAACTATAATGAACTGGTGGTGGCGGCGAACTGTAATGAACTGGTGGTGGCGGCGAACTGTAATGAACTGGCGGTGGTGGACTGTAATGAACTGGCGGTGGTGATTTGTGAACCGGTGGAGGCGGTGGAGATGGTGAGGGTGGCGGCTTGTAAGGAGTTGGAGATGGTGGTGGAGGTGGTGAATACTCTACACAGGGCGGCGGAGGAGGTGGCTCTATACAAGGAGGTGGCGGTGGGGGAGAATGTACCGGGGGCGGTGGAGAATAGACTGGTGTTGGTGGAGGCGGTGGCGACAAGTAAGGATAGGCTGGTGGTGGAGGAGAATGTGGAGGCGGCGGAGGCGAGTGAGGTGGCGATGGCGGAGGTGGGGAGCTATAGTAGTACGGAACCGGTGGTGGTGGAGAAAACACTGGTGATGGTGGTGGGGGCGAATGTGGTGGAGGTGGCGGCGGGGGATGGACACAGTATGGTGGTGGCGGAGACGGTGAAGGTGGTGGGGGTGGTGATGGTGAGGGTGGAGGGGGAGATGGAGGTGGTGGTGATGGTGAGGGTGGAGGGGGAGATGGAGGTGGTGGTGATGGTGAGGGTGGAGGGGGAGATGGAGGTGGTGGTGATGGTGAGGGTGGAGGAGGAGATGGAGGTGGTGGTGAAGGCGGCGGAGGAGATGGAGGCGGTGGTGGTGGGGGTGAAGGGGACGGCGGTGGAGGTGATGGGGGAGGCGGAGAAGGTGGCGGAGGAGACGGTGGGGGCGGAGAAGGAGATGGTGGAGGTGGAGAAGGGGGTGGAGGTGGTGGTGGTGGTGGAGAGGGAGGTGAAGGAGAAGGCGGGGGCGGCGGCGGGGGTGGAGGTGGTAGTGGAGAAGGCGGTGGCGGAGGCGGAGAGACAACTGGTGCTGGTGGTGGTGAAGGGATTGGCATTGGAGGGGAAGGAGGTGGAGGAGGCAATGAGGGAACAAAAGGAGAACATCTAAAGGAATTACAATCCACAGGCCGAGATAAGAATGCCTTACATTGACCAGCTGACCTCTGTTTTGGCCTCGCCGGCAAGCAGTTCATCATGTCGTCGAAATCCTTCAACCTCAAACACTCCGGCGGCTCTCCGGTGAAGAAATTGAAAGAGTACGTGAAGTTCTCCAAGTTTGGCAGCTTACAAATACTCGCCGGAATGCTACCAGAGAGCATGTTATGAGCCACATTCAGCTGTTCAAGGCTCACCATTCCGCCAATCGTCTCCGGCAAAGGCCCCATCAACTGGTTAAAGCTCACATCAAAAACCGTTAGGTTCTTCAACATGCCTATCTCTTTCGGCAGACAAGATCTCAAGCCGTTGTTCATTAAGATAATCTCGTTTAGATTCGACATGTTCCCCAAGCTCGACGGCACGCAGCCATGGAACTTGTTGTTGGCCAGTACGATGACAGAAACCGGAGAGTTCCCAAAATTATCCGGGAGCTCGAATCTGAACCTGTTATGGTTGATGAAGATGGCATCCAAATCTTTGTCGAAAAGCTCTTTTGGAACAGATCCTTCAAACTCGTTGAATCTCAGATCTAGGAATTTCAGCATTGGCAACTCAAGAACCACGCCCGGGAACTTTCCGGCGAACCTGTTATTGCTAAGATCTAGCTCGAACAGCAGCTTCAACTTGTGAAACTTGTGCGGAACAGTACCGCAAAAACGATTAGAGTTTATGTGAAACAATGCAAGATCAGTGAGTAAGCCAAGCTCCTCCGGCAAGTAGCCGGCGATATCACCGTGGTTAAGATCAATGCCGGCGACGGTGATGATAGAAGAATTATCGGGCGCGGGAGCACAGAAAACTCCGGTGTAGTTGCAGACATGAGATCCAACCCAATCGGCGGTGAGATTAAAAGGATCGGAGAGAATAGCTTGCTTCCAAGCTTGCAAAGCTATGTAAGCATTTCGCTGTCGACTATTCTCGAAAACGAGTGAAGGATCGACATCAACTTTCTCCCCTCTGTCACCAAACTCATCCCTGTAGTAGAGAAGCTGGCGCTGCCGGATGTAGTGGGCTTCCTGGTCAGTAAGCCCGCCATGGCTGGAAATGTGGAGAGAAGAAGAGAGGCATACGGTGCCAAGAAAAGAAAATAAAGCGATAAGAAGAGAGAGACGAGAACAGGGGTTGAAATGAGTACTCTTCCTCTTCATCTCACATGAGACATCTGATTTTCCAAATGCCACTTTTCTTGATTTGGAGTCTGCTATCTTGCTTCTTGTTGTTGTTGTTGTTGTTTGTTCTCAAAAGATGAGACGAGCACAATGGGAGTCGGCAAGTTGCAGAAACGCTGCCGTTTGAGAATGTTTAGGTTAAGATCTGAGAGAGGGAGGGAGGGAGGGAGAGAAGGAAGGGGAAGTTTGGGGGGGGGGGGTTAAGGAGAGAGAGAATGGAGCGGGGGGGTATTTTCTAGGGATTTGGAAGCGTGTGAGAAAGAGAGAGAGAGAGAGAGAGAATGGACAGCTAAATCACAGCTCAAAGCCCCCCAGATTCTCCTCCTTTCTCTCTCTTTCCTTTTTACCACTGACTTTTTTTTTTTTTTTAATTATTTAAATCTTGATTTTTTATTTATTAAAATTAATTCTAAAATATTTTCTTCCAAAATTACACCATAAACTTTTTCATTTTTGGTATCCAACCATCCACAGTCTGTTTTCATCACATTATATAAATTATGATAACTTTTATTTTCAACTTGGATTTTATTGTGGACACCTAACATTTATCTTAACAAAAAATAAGAATATTCTGACTCGTAAAGGAATATAATCTTTAACAAAAGTTAAAATCTTAAAAAAAATTATGATTGATTAACAAGTTTAAGACTAATAATTGCTTCTCATTAAAAAAAAAAAAAAATGCAGACTAATAATTTGCCATCATTTGAAAATGTTGTTAAAAAAATAAATGGAGTCGGTGCTGCTGCCGTATTCCGGCGAGTTTTGACCCGCCAACGCGTACAGAATTAAAGCAAACCCAGGTTGCCGGTTATCACGAGATTACTGTGAATATGTCACGAAATATTGATATTTTTGTGGGGGCCACGGATGGTGAAGGGAAAATTTTTTAAGAAGAAGAAACTTTAAATTATTCTTTATAATTTGAATTAATTACTTTGCCTTTTTTATATATATATTTTTTTAATTTGTGCCGAGTTATTATCTCAGAATTGTAATTAATTAATATTTTTATTTTATAACAGCACTTTTGAGCGGTGGTGGTTGTTCCGTTTGTTTGTTTTAAGTTGAGTGCGTCTATTGTCAAATCAAACGACTCTTTTGCAGTAAATGAACTGCTGGTAACGTTCTGTGAAATGACAACATTGCCCCTCGGAGCTTTTTTTCTTTTTATGGAATTCCTCCTTGGGATTTTACAGTCTTGCTTCTTACTCTTGGTAAAAGGCTAGTAACCGTTTAACAATGGACAAAACGCGGAAATTTCAAGTCGTCTTTAATTATTAAAATATACTCTCTCTTAAAGTTGCGCGGAAAAGCCTCGGGTTAGCAGCGCAGCAAGTGCAGTGTCTGTTGAAATATTTTAAGAAATCATATTATAAATTGTAACACTTACTCTTGTGATTTATAATTTTGGTTTTTTTTTTTTTTTAATTTATTATAAAATTTATTTCTGATTTATACTTTTTTATATATAAAAAAAATGGCTAGTTTAAGATGGTATCACAATCAAAATTTAAAAATAAATAATCTCACATTATCAGCTTCCCATTTAAACAAATAAAATAAAAGAGCGGTTATTAGAAGACAAATCCATGCTTGCTTGCTTGCATGCATGCCTGCCACGAGTCCACATCAGGGTTTGATGAGGACGCCACATCTACTCTCCGAAACATAGGAGAATCGCCCATACATCCCACCAGCAGCGCCAGCCGGGGAAAAAAAAAAAAAAGACGGCCAATCAACAGGGAGTGCGTTAGGCCGAATCTGGGACCCACGCGTCACATCCTGCACGGCTGGATCATCTGCGTTCTGAGGGGATAAATGGACCCCACTTCCTTCTGGTGCACCGTATCCGCGTAGCACCACGTCATCTCTCTATTTAATTCATTTCGGACCAAAGTAGCCGCTGCCGGGATTACTAATAATATAATATACACACGGTGGTGTGTGAAGAGCAGCAAGGACGCATATTTGCTCACCTTAGATGGGGTAGGATGGTTTTAACGGTGGTCCCTCAAATGCGATATTAACTGAGATATATGACTCTTAACTAATTTTTGTTAACATATTTTGTACTTGTTATATTATTTTTTAGTATTTTAACATTTAATGAAATTTATTGGTTGAGTTTGAGATTCAGTCCAACTCATGCACCAATTAAGGTTACTAGACCAAATGTGTGGTAGACAATTTGCTTTGACCAATTTTAAGTGGTAAATTTGTTATTTAATTTAATGTAAATCATAAAAACTTAAGTACGCTATTAACTCGTGGAATTCATTCATATATATATGCATATTAAATTGTTAAGTTATCATCTCATTTGTTTTAAGTAATGAAATAAATTGGTTGATTATAAGCTAGCTAAGTAATGATTTACTAAACTTTTGTCTCATCGTATTCATGCACCCACTAAACCTTCAAAATTGTTATAATGTCTCCTTGGCGTTTGTTAAAAATTTAATATGATTTTAAATGAGGTAATGTTTTAACTTAATAAACATATATGTAAAACTAAATATTTAAATATTCAATTAAGTTATCTTATTATGTGTATATAATAATAATGATAACAATAATAATATTATTATATTGAGATTTCATATATGTATACTGATATATTATTATTATATAAATTAGAAATACAATAAATATGAAAATAGTGTATTAAAATTTACAAATATTGATGTATATACTATTCAATTTTTTTAGTACAAAATTTTATATAGAAAATTTAAATTAATTAATAATTGAAACTAATTCTCAAATATATAAAAAAATATATATAATTACCGAGTCAAACTCGTTAGTTTGTTATTATAAATTAAATTATCAATGTGCTATTTAGTATAATATTTATTTATTTTTGTAAGATATGTATACATATATATGTATATATATCTTTTTCATGTGCAACGAACATTGGATTCATGTATAATATCATACCTTTTAAAAAATTGTGGGAAAAAATAAAACAAAGTAGACATAAAATATATGATGATTGGTTCTTGTCAACTACTCCATTTTTACAAATTCCACACCATTAATTTAGACATTTAATCAATCAAAATAATTTAAAATGTTTATACCAATTAAAAAAAAAAGAAAAAAAAAATATATATATATATATAAACATAAAAACAGAAAAAAATAATAAATTAATTACATAAAACATTAAAGTTGCTCTAAAAAAGGAGAGAAAAGGCAAGAAAAAACAGATAAGCTTTCATATGTTTCGCTTACAACTTCTAATTGACTATTTCCATCCGCGTGGCAGAAAATACGTTGCGGCTTACAGATTTGTTTGGATTGGTGTATATGTCAGCACAGAGCGTGCGGGTCCCTTTAACCACGTAGGACGAAGAGCCACTTGAGCCCCCCAAACAACTGCCAGCTGTATGTATTCTTATTTAAAAAAAATGTAATGACACGTGGACTATCCGGTGCGTTTCGTCATCTACTTTCCTAATTGCATATTATAGCCTACAGGAGAGGAAAGCCGAAAGCGGGAAAGGCGGGACCCGCCTCAAGTTGTTTTTAAGGTACAGGTAAAACAATAATTAATATGAGATTTTATTTACAACAATTTTGAGTAAATGAGTTTGTAAGCTCATAACTAATTTAGTTATAATAGAAATTTCAATATAAACACAACCTCATGTAATTTTAATTATTTATAAATGAAATAAAAATATAAAATTGGAAAGTGGGGAATTTCTTGCAAAATTATTTACTCTTTTATTAAAAATATTTATATACATTTAAAAAGAAAAGCACGTTTTTTTTATTTGTTTATTTCCTATGGATGCTTTAACAAGAATCTCACGTAAAGTTAAAAATCATGATTAAGAATTTTTCAAGTCATAAAGAGGTTTTTACTCGGTACGTTTAAAGTAATTGTAATTTTATTTAAGATTAACACCATAAATTACTTATAAAATTACAAGTCAATTAGATATCATCGTACTTTATACACACACACACACACACACACATACATATATATATATATATATATAATTAGGTTTTGGAAAGAGTGTTATTGGGGTAAAATAAAAGCAAAGTCATTGAACATAAAAACGATTCATGTAGATTGCCAAAACGACATGTGGAGTAATTAGTATTATTTTGCAATAAAATTAATACTCTCGTACTTATAATTAATTTTAAAAAAAAAAAAAAGAATTAGCAGTGTAAAGTGAAGAAAACAAGAAACGCATGTAGGAAGAGAGGATATGACACGCAATTTACGGATTTAAAATTCAAAAATTTACCCTGAATTTCAGACTCATTCCATGCTTTTTTTATTTTTTATTTTTATAATTAATCTTTTTTTTACTTTTAGTGTAATATTTAACTCACATGTTTATATTGTTTATTTATTTTAATTAAAAATTGATTCAAATTTATAGTATCTTATATACATTATTAATTAATTCTGGACATAAAATTATTTTTGATTAAATAAAAATAATACAAAATCAAATAATTTATATTTTGGTAGCTTTAAGAAAATTAAAAATTCCGACAAATTTTATTTTTTTTACATTGGGTGGGGCCCGCGCCGACAAACTGGAGCAAAATCATATATCCCGTATCGGCAGATTTTATTTAAAATATTTTTGAAGAGGCAACGCCGTAACGGACTCTCTGGCAGCTCCGGTGACATGACGTGTGTTATCGTCATCGTATTATTATTATTATTATTTTTAATCTCAAATATAGATGGTTAAGAAAGGAATATAAGGGGATGAACAACTACTCTATGCTTTGAATATCGGAAAAATTCTATAGTGACATGATTATTATATGATTTTAATAGATTAATTATTAAATATTTATGAAATATTAAATAAAGAAAACCCACATGCAAAGTGGCTGCAAAACTAATGTAGCTCGATATAGAAACTCTTGAATAATATACATATATAGTTTTTGAAAAGAAAAATCGAATGAAAATTTAAATTAGGCAATTTTGCATATAACCAATAACATACATTGCTCTCGACTCGGCGTTGGGCACGAGTAGCTCAAGTGAAAAAGCCTAATCCACCACAAACATATTAATAAAGACCACAAGTTGATAAAGTTTTTTTTCTTTTTTTTTTTGGTGGCGTTCATAATAAAATTAAATATTTATACCATTATAATTATAACCTTATTTTTCTCTCGGTTGTTATGGTTCTGCTGGTATTAAAATAATTCACAGACAGATGACAACAATTCAAAAAGCCTTCTGTGTTTATTATGATTTTGGATTCACTCTACTAATTGTTGTTGAGACGTCATAACTTCTGTGCGTTATATGCATTTATTATTCGGAGGAATGATGATAATATATACGACTCTGCATTTAGATAATTGTTTATAGCTTTCACACCAACAACTAATGTTTAAGTTTTTTTTTATAATTTATTGGGAAGTTCATGAGCTCAAATTTTTTTTAAGTAAGTATAACTCAATTATTTTGTAAATGTATTATAGGTTGGTAATCAATTTATACAGTTTAATTTAGCAAAAATAATATTTTAATTTATTACTGTATTGATGGAGTTGTCATGAATAAATTACAATTTTATTATAATTAGTTATGATATATTTAAATAAAAAAAAAATATATTTCGTAAAAAATAAGTTTGATTAGTCGAAATAAAGATGCAAATAAATTACTGATGTTAAGTAAAAACCAAAATAACTATGGCTTGATGAGTATTACTATGAGAATATAATTAGCGTACTCATTATTCATTAGGTTGAAAGATGTAACGGAGTAAGGAAGGTAGATGTGGTTTCAGTGCATCATTCCCACATTATTAGCATTTGTCTTAGAAGCAACGCAGAAAATTAAAGTGTTATATGCGACTAAAATCATAGACTTATTTGATAAATCAATTGACATTTATTTTTTTAAATCTAAATATGCACTGAAATTTATATATTCTTATGGTATTGAAATTTATTTGCAAATACCATATAATTTGATTTAAATAAACATACTACATGAAAACTACAAATATTTTCAGATATCAAACAAAAAGATATATCTTCTATTTATTATCGTCTCATAAATTTAAAATGATTAAAAATATATTTTCAATATTATAACACACCCACAGAATAACGGTGGGCAAAGTTGCTCGTTACAATAGAACCAAATACCATGACATGACCTTATGAATAGTTATAAAGAGCGACCATTTGCGTATTGACTACATATCTAATTTCTCTAAACTCACATGCTAATACAAATACACTAACCAACATTATTAATCATTAGCCATTTATATAATCTATTTTTCTTAATCAATGTTTAAGTTGGCTAATTAGTCAGATAATAAAGAAAAACAGGAAAACAAAAAAGTAGCAAATGATTAGAAGAGATAAGCGTGGAGAAAATACAAAAAATTAAAATGAGTGGTCCCCAATTCACAACTGTGGTGAGGAGTGCCATGTGGTGGTTTCTCATCGCATCCAAAGACTTTGTACCCCTTGAAGATAAGATGCCTGCGTCCTCCATGTAAAAGAAACCTCGCCCCACCCTAAAAGCTTCCATGTGATGGGTTTAGCTCCTTCTGCTTAAACTTTAGTAACATTTATTGCTTCCCACTTCTGATATTTGCTAATCTTGTGTTTCCTTGCTCAAAGTTGATTTTGACAAATCCAAAGCTGATTTTTGTAACACAAGAAAAACAATAAAAGCCTAATCCCCCCAAAAACAAATTCTACCCAAATTTTGTTTTAGCTTTTACAAAGAAGGAATTTTATGTCATGGTAATCTCACCAATTTGGAGGTGTAAGCGCCTTCTGCAACAGTCTTATCATCAACATGATAGCAAATAATAATAAAAATATATTCATATATGATAATTATTAAAAAAAACCAAATTAGTAACTATAAATAACCAGAAAATTATGATATGCAAGTACCTCAAAACAGAAAAACGTATGATAGAAAAAAGTTTATAAAAAGAACTTGAGTTGAAGTAGTTATGGTTTCTGGCACATACAATTTGCAGCTGCTAATCAAAGCTAGGAGGAAGAAAAAAGAAAATTATCCTAATCATGGGCCAAGTTGCAGACAATCCTATTTGGAGAGATTTTTTACCAAATGAGAAAAATGTCTACTGTTCTATTCTACTCCCTGACTGCTTAGGGTCAGTATCTTACCACAGGCAACACAAAGTTCGTACACATCCTCCAGTCCCAGCAGGTGAAAAATGGTCGGAAATTAAATCTCTTGCTAAAACGCCTCTTAGATTACAAAATTGATCGTTTCCAAAAACCTTCTGGATTCAAATGCGGTATATCAGATAATGAAATCCTAGTATTAGAAACAATAACAGTAAAAGTGAGGTGCAGGAGAAAGCCTTAAAATGCATGCATTTGATCTCAGTCTATCAATCGTTGTGCATACTTAATAATGTTAAACGCACCGAATGTGAACAAAATTGTTTAACCACTATTTTTAACCCCTATTTACAAGCTACGTATATGCATCTTTTATTTTAGTTTTGAAGCAGGTAATATGTCTCTTTCTCAATACCACAAAGCAAAAAAGGTGCTTTTATGTGGGTTGGCAAAAATCACATTATTTGTACTGAACATGAAGACCACTAGTAATTTTTAAGAGTGGAAGCAGCAAGAAAAGACTAACCTTTATACTAAACTAAATATGTGTGAATCTTTCCCCTAAAAAAAATATGTGAATCTGTCGGCACGCGGGAACAAAAAACCCTTATATAATTGAAACCTAACCACAACAAAGTTAGATTCGCTTTAAACGCTCCCCAATAGCAAAACCTCATACCCAATCAGAAAACACTACATTGAAAATGCCAGCTCAGTTCACCTACCTACTCTATAACACAACACAGCAAGAAAAGGCACAAAAGGCAAAGTTTTAAATGTATATGTGTGTGTATATAAATATATATCATGACATTCTTGTGACTTAAAAAAAAACCCTTTTCTTTACTCTCCCTTACCTCTTTGTTGTTGGCGAATAATTTTGCTGAGTATTCTGGTTCATTGTCAGTGACAACCTTTGCTCTTGCATGAAATAATAACCTTTATTAGAGAGAATATCAAATGATTGGCCTATGATTTAACAATGACTATAAGGCATTACATAATGTTGGACTAATTTAACAATGATGACGAAAGATTAAATTAATACTAGAATAAAAAATTTGAGAATAAAACGAATTCTAAATCAAGAAATGGATGATAAAAGAAACAGGATAAATATGTCAACACAACAAAAATTTACTTAATGCCGGAATGTAGTTCAATTCATTGGAAAAGTTTCAACGATCATGTGACATTTCTCCAATTACTAAATTACTGTCAGCCAAAAACAATGGGGCCATTGATTTGCCCCTTATAGGCAACTGGTCTTCCTGCTATGAACCTGTCATGGTGTAATTGTAAGGTGTAGGACATAACAAAATCTATTAAAAATCTTTATCAGATCTTACATAGAGCACTGTTTGCTCTTTTTTTTTTTTTTTTAACATTCTTTCGTGGAACGTCAATTTCAGCTGTAAAAGTAAAAAAATGTTCAAACAGAGACTAGCAACTTGAGATATGATAAGAGATATCCGTTGAGGGACTAGATTTACAAAGGAACGAATACAGGTCAGCCAGCAAAAAGAAAGTTTGAAGGGTAAAAAAGAAATTATAAAGGCTTCTTCTAAAGGAGAACAGTAAAAGATGCAAAATTATCAGACGCAAGCCATCAGGGACCTACCTAGAAAGACAGCCTAGTCGTCGGTAAAACTTTCAGAAAATGGATGGAAAACCTGTCTATGAGTGGAACCCACTTTAACAAGTCACCAAAAATTGCCGCTTGATCGAATTCAAGCTTTTACCGTAGTACATGAGCATTATCCTGTGCCTCAGGATGATTTCACTTGGTCTAGAATCAGGTGATGTGCTGTACTCTTTTTTACTGAGAAATTAATAAAGGATAGGTATTAACCACCAGTGGTAAACACATCTATAACAGTAGAAATCATACAAGTCATAGTGATTTCTACCAGCTAGAATTTCACTAAGGCACGTGAGCAAAATGTTTAATGGTTTTGCCCGTTGACGCTCTGCACAGAGAAAACTCTCTACAGAGAGTGGCAGAAATCAATGGTAAAAAGCAAATATTGGCCCTCTATTAAATCGGGTTATTAATTCAAAGGGTCCCGCCTACAAGATTAACCCAAATTTCAAAATGATATTGAATGAATGAACCACTGGGTTGTCTCCATAACAACCGAAATACGAACAGAAGATGCAACATTTCAATTTTTATCACTGTGTGATGGAACATATGAATTCATGGTGGCTCCCAAATTCAGCTGCAAGAATCAATGAGGTGAAGGCAGTTTCTAACACCCCTCCCCAATTCCTTCGACTATGTCAAAAATATTTTTATTTCATTTTTTGGACTAATGTAAGAAGGATCAGGTGAGAAACTAGGCAAATTGTACAGAACCCCACGGGTGAAATAATAAATTGAAAATATCGTGATACGATAATTCTGAATAATACCGAAAATTAGATACTTATCAAGAGGAAACAACAGAGGAACTAAAGATTTCTGGTGCAAGTTTTTATAAGTAAAGAAAAATAGTATATAGCTTTTGTGTAACCTGAAAATTGGTGTTTGACAGCTGGAACAACCTGTCTTGATTGGAGCTGGTGAAATGACGTGGATATTACTACCTCATCCAAAACTTGAAGAAAAGAGGGGAAAAAAAAAAAGGAGAGAAAAATTCAGTCCCATTAAGGTCATGCCATCATAGTACTAAAATATTCAACTTTGGATGATACAAACCTGAAACAGGAGAGCATGCAATACAACCTTCAAAGCAAAAAATGTTCCTCAGCAAGAAACAACGGAAGCAAGAAAAGCACTCTTAGCATCTAATTTCAAACAGGAATTAACAAGCAAGTGAAGAGAAGGCCAGCAAAATACAGACTACTCTGATATGAAATGTCCTAAAGGGATCCATTCACACACAAAGAAAAGTTTATTGGAGGTAATTAGGTATTAACATCTTTGTCCAGGTTACTAGTAAGCAAACCTTACCATATTAAGCAACGAAAGTTGCAAGACTAGGAGAATAACAGAACATGTTTTTGGAACATCTTATATAAACTACAGCATCTTATTCACATTCAGCAGTTGACAAAAAGCTAAAATCTGGAGCAACTAAAATTAAAGACGTATCTAAACTAAAATCTGGAGCAATTAAGAAAAGATCTGCAACATCATTTCCAAACTAAAGTAATAGATATATTCCTTAAAAGGAAAAACTTAAAAAGCCAATTAAAAATTTTAGGAAGGTGACTCACTCTGCTCTATGCATATAGAAATAGAGCAAGTGATTCTGAAGCACCCCTGATTTTGAGCTCAACAACTCGGGTAAAATTCCTGCAAACATAATAAGCCCTACATTGATCATAATGTCTAGATTAGAGATTTTAGGCTTACGAGCTTCGTTCATTATACCTCACTCTCTAATGAGCTTTGTTCATTATACCTCACTCTCTTATGAGCTTCATTAATTATACCTCACTCTTTTCAACCTCATTACCTTGTGACGAGTAAAACACCAGCCCTAGACACTCTTCTCTAAATCTATATCTTCATTTTATTTTAACTCATGCAGAAGATCAAACATGCATGCCTACACAGTTCCATTAGAGCATTCATTGACAGATAACAATCTTAAAGTACTTCAGCTAATGAACGAAAGATAACTTGACAAATCAATTATACTATCATATTAATTTTGCTTACTGCAGTGCGTGTAATTATAGGGTAAGCTCAAATTTTGATATGATATTCTGCATGAGATAAGGGAGATGTTGTTATGGTTTCTGTAAATATAAGGTGAAAATACTAATCTGATTCAGTAGATTAGTTTCAAATTATGATATCTCCTTCTTCAAATTACAATATCTCAGTAGATTAGTTTCAAATGTTGGTACGTAATCGCCCCATTAGAGGAAGAAAGGAAGTATGCCTGATGTAAACAAAAAGGACTTCTAAATGAAGCCTTTGACTTACAAAAATTACACATCCTCGGATTAAGGGCTTAGCAGATAAAAGAAAATGGATCAATACCTTCTTAATTTTAAATTTAAGATTCTATGTGAAGAACAACCATCCAGTAATAACAAGTCAGGGTGGGGGCAATCTTCAGGTTCTTTAGCCAAAATGCTACAAGATTTTAAAACCTGCTAGGAAGGTATAATCAGGCCACTAAAGCAAGTTCCATTAGCAGATAAAAGGACAACGAAAGAGTAGAGCAGAACCAAAATGCAAAAGTTCTCTTACAATAACAAGCAGTAAAGCCTTTTACCTCCCTACCCCAAATAAAATGTGATTTTACTCTTTCCAAGCTCATTTATTAAAGATGCGAGTTTTACTTCTGCTTTCAGCATCCACCAAAAGATAACAAATCATCCAAGTCCATTCCACTAAATAAGCATTTCTTAGCAATATCTAACTGTATAACTATTCAATGCTTCAGATAAACCTTTTAGATATAAATAAAAACCACGTGTACTGAAAGATTTTCACTGAAGCTAGCAACTAAATGTTGGCCAACTCATCCTTCACATAAATAAATAGCAATAACCCTTATTTTTCAAGTCTACTACTGGTTATTGGACACAACCCTGGTTTATAATATAAAGAAGAGGCATAGTTCCACATGTTAAAAGCATGAAAAATCACAGAGATCAAGGCCTAGCAATATCTGCTACAACAACAAGCAAATAACTAAGATGAAATACGTTTATAAATCTAGCTTAATTAACATGTAAACATTAAATACCTTGGATGCAATGAAATCCAATTTTGATAATCTAAAAAAGTTTCAGATTGAACAAAACAAATCAGCTAATCAATGAGCAACTACAATGTGTGTGCATTCATGGAGATGTACAGTATGTTGTATATCTTTAACACACGATAAGTTCTTTATGATGCAGTAATTCATTTTGGCTCCTTCAGGACATGCATGCTTTAAACTTCTCAAGAATTAAACTGTATATATTTTTTTATGTCACCTTAGCGAGAAAATGGTCAATCAGCAAAGAAAAAATATATTGTGTTTGTGCTGGATCAAACACATAATGAGAGCATCTTCATCCAATCTCTTATACGATTAATCTGCCACTTGAGTCAACTTATTTGAGAGTCAGTTTCTGTTTGCATAAAAGTTTCTGATGAAGAGAGTTTACAAGTGAAGATATGAATGGCTTCCGTTTAGCCTCAGCCTGTACTTGCTTAGTGCAATATACAGATGAAAAACACATTAGACAATGGTTAGAAGTGAATCCAATTTAGCTTCTGCGTGAGTTCACTCTATGCTTCCTTAGTGCAATATACAGATGAAAGACATGTCAGACAATGGTTACAAGTGAATGCAGTGAAGTTAATCACTTAAAAAGAAATTGTCAAAACTCATAATGTTTGGACCTTCTTATACATTGTACAGGGGCTGGCACCCCCTAGGTGCCGCATACTAATACATTTCACACTTTATATTTAAAAAAAAAATGTTTAGACCTTCTTAGCCCTAAACAGCTTTATTTTGCTTTCACATTCTCCAGAATATTAGCTTATGCGGTTCTGAATCTAAAGTCGTGATCCGTTACAACTTCTAGAGTATCTGACTAGTTAGCAAAAACTTTTATAACAGAGAACTTCAAATGAAGTGCCCATTAGGTAACACAATTTGTCTATACATGGTTACTTATCATTTCTAACAGTCCCATCCTTGGGACTAGCAAGCCACAGGAAGTTCAGGACAGAAAACAAATTGCATACAAATGAACACTATTTGAGAAGGATAGGCTTCATGTCTCAGCACTACAATGATCAGCATCAATTATTCAAATAATTAGCAGAATTTATCCACTTAGAACTGATATCTGATATAAATTCATGTCAAGTGACTCAAGATTCCAAATCTAAAAACAAAAAGATGATGAATCATCAGTACTATATAAGAGCAAATTATTCTCCAAAGTAAAACAAATTTATAGCTATAAGATTAGTTATCGGCATATTCAATCGTACCTTTTACAGTGATTAAAGGGAGGCACTGGCAAAACTCTTAGTTGTCTTTCTTTGGGTTAAATCACTTGCTGAAAATGCCCCTCAAAGAGTTGACAACAAATCCAACTTTTAATCTCAAACCAAAGCTTTATGAGCACGTCAAAGATGACAATAACAGTGTTGGATTGGCAGCCACAAAACTTTTCTAGTCTGTACGTACTTCAAAAAAATTTAATCTTATCCATTCTATTGCAGTTGCTTGCAAAAATAAACATGTCCTTGGTCCCAGATGACATCCCATTATTTACATCTACTATCGTTTAAGCAAATAAACATATTCTTGTCCCCAATAATTCCCCAATGTTTTGTATAATTTTAATGGCTGAACTACAGCCTATAGCACCTTGCTTCCTAGTTACACAATGAACAATAGCTCTTTGGTTAATTGGCAGTTTAAGGATAGCTTTAAAGAGACAATCATATAGGAACCTTGTATTTTGGGAATCGCAGCAAGACACAATAATGTCAAAATGATGGGATGAAACACATAGACATTAGTATTTCAGCACAGTTCTCTAATAAAAAATAGTGAAAACAATCTAGCCTGTGCACCTTGCTTCTGAAACTGCGACTTTTTTTTTTTATTTCTAATTATGATATGGATATTAAATTAAATAAATTTTAAAGTGCATACAACTCTGCCATAAGATCTATAAAAGAAAGCAATATGTCATTTAGCGCTGAATTACATGCTAAACCTGATGCTTACAGATAATTAGAACTCAAGCTACTGTTAAGAAAATCACAAGAACTGAATTATAGAAATACGACCAAGCTATATCGAGCAATTCCAAAATGCACACAGTTCCGTATTAAAGACTTGCAAGTACCATGCCGGAAATATATACGACATAACAGATAATGCATTTATTATCTGTAAAGTAATCAATACAAGTATCAATATACCTCTTTTGAACTTGAAAATACAGGAAGTATTAACCGTAGGTGGAAGAACTTAATTTAGAGTAACATCATTTCTCAAAATCGGATTAACAAGGTTCAGATTAACAGGCTTAACACTCCCGGCTCTTTGCCAAAATTTCTCTGATTATGATTAATAGAAGTCTACATGATTATTAGCAGAATTGCTAGACAATAAAGTAAAAGCAAGAACTAAGACAAAGATAGAGATTATTAGTAGAAATAATATAAACCAAACTGAAGTTTGAATGCGTTGATTGCAAGCACACGCGGCAAAATCACCAAGAGAACACGCACAACAAATAAAAACTAATTGGCACAAACCAAACAGCAGTGAGTTGAGTTTCGGGACGCAGACTGGGGAAATCCCTACTCATGTTTGGCTTACGAGAAAGAAATAATAATTCCGAGAAAATTTCTGTAGGAAACCAAACAATATCATGTAAACGAACAAGAGCGAGAAATCCGAACCATGACAGAACGTGGAGAATCCATGATGATATCTTAACACAACTTTAGCAGTGAAGGTAAAGATAATTAGATGATCGAACATGTAATTTGGTTGAAGAAGCACCGGCGACGGAGAAATGGCAGAACCGCAGAATAGGTAGCGTGTTGCTGATTTTGTACGGAACGGGTATCTCCTGGTGGATCTTGATAGACCCGGTTGGCCAAAAGATTTCGGCCGTCTTGGATCGGGTAAAAATAAGAGCAGGCCCCATTTAAAATTCTAAAGCCCGGGTTACGTTGGTCAACTACTTCAACAACTCCATCTATTTCAAATGAATTTTCTAGTAAAACAAGAGAGAAAGAATAATAAACAAATAAAAAATCCTCTCTATGAGGCTTCCTCCTCTTAGTGAGCCTAAAGACCCACTTTCTTTTTTTTTTTAAAAGTGAATCTTTATTTCTAAAGATTTATTTTTCGTCTAAAAATTATTTTAAAAAGCGAAGTTACCGTTTCTATACTATTTACTAATTACATAGCAACACATAGGAGGGTTATGTAGTCTCCAAATCATCTGCCAAAAGAAACAAAGAGATCAAATTCAAGCATTTAATAGTCAAATGGAGCCATTACTAATCAAGACAAAGTCTACATAGAAGAGTCTTTATTGCTATAGAAAGAGTCAAACAACAATAATCTTTAGGAGCTACCATTGGTAGGTAAAATACTAAGTAACATTAGGAGAATAAATGAATATGTCTCCTTTAAATCCCTAGGCAGGAACTCATTTGTTTGCTTATTTGAGCATGAAACTGACAAAAAAAAAAAAAATCAATTAGTAGATGTCTATTGAATGTAAGGGGGTTTGCAAAACTCTCAATTGAAAAATTGAATTTTTCAAAAACATTTTTATAGGTTAGAATTACTAGAATATTATTGAAAAATATTCTATGAATATTCTAATATTTTATGAATATTTTCAATATTCCGTGAGTATATATTATTATTAACTATTTCAATTGTAAATGTATAAATTATTTCTCTTTACAAATCAAACCATTTTCTACATATATACATGTATTTTGTATCATATCAATACAATAAAAAAGAATATACTGATTATCCATTAAACGGTTTTTTTACTTTTTTTTTTTCATGGTATTAGAGCGGTGATCCTACCTCTTTATTTGTGTTTGATTTTTATTTTTCCTTCATATGGTTGACAACGGAAGCACCAATACAAACCAAGGTATTTCAAATGCCTTTATGACTACATTAGAAATTAGTAACTTAAATGATTTATGAGTTGATGACAAATAAACTAACTAATATCCCTGAGTTTAATTCTTATACAATTCTTTTGCTTCGTTAAACTAATGAAAAATGTGCTCCTTTCAAGGATAAAGATAAAATCAACCTTGTCTTTAGTACCGTAGAGTTTGATGTCTTTATGTTCCTTCTTTTCCCTTTGAATTGCTCTCTGTTCAAAAATTGATATCACCTTCTAATTGTGAAGTTATATTTTCTCCTTACAAGATTATCTTTTAGGACCTTATTACCAAAAAGACGACTGGTGAAAGATTTTATTTGCATAGACTCTATTATTTTCCTAATTCTTGAGTTTCTAAGAGCTTTCAAGTTGTTTCTTCTTCTATCAATGAACATCTCTTATGGCATCATTGTCTAACACATCCATTAGAATCTATTTTTTCAAAACTAAATCTGGGTTTGCCTAAAGGAATTTATGATTGTGAGATCTGACATGACTCTAAGTTTGTTAGGCTTCTCTTTAATTTATTGTTATCTAAAAGTACTCAAGCGTTTGAACTTGTTCATTTAGATGTTTGAGGATCTTTTTCAACTTCTGTTGATGGTTTTATATATTTTCTAACCTTTATTGATGACTTTTCAAAGGTGACTTGAGTATATTTATTAAAGTCTAAATGCAAAGTTTTTAGTTATTTTAAGGGCTTTCATAGGTTGATTACTACTCAATTCTCAACCCATAGTAAAATTCTTCAAATTGATGATGAAACAAAATACATGTCTCATAACATAAAAAGTTACTTAATTTCTAATGACATACTGTATCAAACTAGTCATGTTAAAATACCTTAGATAAATAGGATTATTGAAAGCAAAAATCATGATTTGCTATAGAAAACTCCAGTCATAATGCTTCAAATGAATGTTCCAAAATCCTTTTAGTCTTATAGAGTCATAACTGTCACTTATCTTGTTAATCGCTTACCCAGTCGGGTGTTGGATTTTCAATGTCCTCTTGAAGTATTGTAGGCTAAAAACCAAATATATCTCATTTAAAAATTTTTGATTGTACTTGTTTTATACATTTATTTGTGACTTACCGTAACAAACTTGATCCGCGAGTAGTTAAGTGCGTATTTCTATGGTATTCATAAATAAAGAAGGGGTACACGTGTTACAATGCTGTCAATAGAACACTCTATGTTAGTATAGATGTTCAATTTATTAAAATAAGTCCATATTTTACGACCTCTACTCAGGAGGAGATGTTAATTGAATTATTTCCTTTACCAAGTGTTGAAGCTTCCCAATAATAACTAGTTAATTTGCTTTACAGAGCATGATACACCTACTAAAGATTCAAATGACAATTCTCTATTAAATATATATACTAGTGATAATTCCTTAAAATAGACGATGATGTATCTCAAATAGCTCTTATCAATTTACATGAACATAAATAATCTAATATATAACAGTTCTTATTAATTTAAATGAA